CAGAAAAAAAAAAAAAAAAAAAAAAAACCTTAAACCTACCTAAACTCTTAAAAATTTCTTAATTCTCAAATTTTTCTCCCAACAATGAACTCCAAAATAACCTGACACACAAATATTGATAAAATATTAATAAAAATGTATAGTGTTACAATGTGAATAATGTAGATTGAATTTGAATGATGATATAAAATTATATAAAATATAACATGCATAAAACTCTTATATTGTCCATTAATTATATATGATATGACTGTTTATTTTTATAATAATTATTTTTGAAGCTATATTAAAATGAGTTTTTGATTGAAGCAAAACATAGAAAATCTACATATAAATTTGAATAATTATTAAAAATAATAAAATTCTTTTTACACTTTTAGGGTACATTTGTTTTCAGATATGTCATTACTTTCCTAGAAATATTATTATTGGAATATTATTCATAAAAATGTTTAAAAACGTATTTTGACAGGATTTTAATATTTTTTCAAATAAAAAATTAAATTGATTAAAATAAAAAATGAGTTGAAAAAGTGGGTTAAAATATAACTTCCCATATTTTAATGAGAATATAACTTTTTCATCCTCCATCACAAAAATCAAAATGAAATGGATAATGTTATGACTATTTTTCACGAGAATAAATTATATCTAGAAATTGTTTTTTCAAAATCCTAAATAAACATGTAAATATGACATTTCGAACTCAATATTTTCGGAAATAAGTTTTTAATTAATGTTTTAATTAAATTCTTCCTAAAAAAAAAACTTGACATTTTTTTATCTTTGATTTTAAGCTTTTCAAGTTTGAATCTCAACACTTATGACTTCATTCAACTTCGGGGAAAGATTAGAGGTCAATTGTGGAATCAAAAAGAAGTAAAGTCACTTATGATTCCAAAGTTCCTCTATGTAAACTACATCTCTAGGTTTCTTTAAAAATTAACTTATGAAGTTCAAACCTTAAAAAAAAAAACAAAAAAAACTTTATATACCTTCATCTATAGGGAAAACTTGACCTTTACTTAAAGTAATTCTTAGACAACCAAAACTTCTAAAAATTCCTAAATTCCTAGAATTTATTAACAAATAAACAACTAAACCACTACGACACAATTTAATAAAGCTCACAATGTTATAATACAAAAATTCAATATGAAACATTTGTTAAATTATTACCAACACAAAAAATGAATGTGAGATCCTTTAACTATTCGACCAACTCACAATGAAAAGATTATATATGTATATATACACACACATTTGACAAAAAAAAATGAGATTACTAATTTTTATAATAATCATTCTATTAGGTTAAATATGAGATTCTCCACAAAATAAATTTTATCAACAACTGAATATGGGGTGTCTAATTACTAGACTAACATAAATAAGTAAGATATTTGATATATGTAATTAAAAAAACAAATTTATTAATTTTTATAATAACAAAAAAATTATCCTTTAATTTGACAAATACATGCTACTTTTGTCTTTATATAACAATTTTTTTACTTTATTACTTATTTTTTTATAAGACATTTTTTAATTGTTTCCTGCATCAATTATTGATTTTTCAAAATACCCTAAATTAATTAATAACTTTTGAAGAAAAAATAATAAATGGTGAAAATTAACCAGATAAACTCATTCTTTAATTCTTATATTAGGACTAGAGAAGCCTAGCATAGTTTTCAAACATTAAATAAGTAAGAAACACTTAAGTAAAAAAAAAAGAAGATATAATTGATTTAAAAAATATTAAGAGTAATTTAAAAAATAATAATATTTAAATTGTTGAATTTGTTCTGAGTAGATCAATAATTTTATAGAAGTTATTAAATGTTTACGAGTCCAAAACAAAATTTTTTCATGAACTAATATTTTTTTAACTAATTCATATATAATTATATTTTATAAAAGGAATTAAAGTTTTTGAGAACATAATGCAACCTCCTTCCCTCCTGTATTATTTTATTCACTTTATAATATACATAACACCTTTAAAACTATTATCATTCTCCCAATACCTAATAATAAAATACATTTCAAACTCACTTTTGTTAAAAGTCCCACTAATCAAAACAATTTATTAATCAAATTAAAAATTGTCTGAAGTGCTCTTAGTTTGAATGGGAAAATATGTGCCAAAACTTCTTTCTTTCATATATAATTATATTTGTATAACTAAATTGTATTATTTTATTTACTTCAGAATATACATAACACCTTTAAAATCCACCATCAATCTCCCAATACCTAATATATAATGAATGCAGTATATATACATTAAAAATCCACTTCTATTAAATGTTCCACTAATCAAAAAAAATTATTAATTAAATCGAAAAGAATTGTCTAAAAGTGTTATAGTGAGGAAAATACGAGCCAAAACTTTTTTCTATTACTATACTCGCAAAGGTAGCGTTGGTGTTTACATATGATATAAAATAACTTGATATTTTTTAAAAAGTTTATTTTCAAACTCAATTATAAGTAAAATTAATTAATTTATGAGTTAATTAAGAAAAATAATATTATATAATTTTAAATCTCAAATAATTTTTTTATTATTACCTTTCATCATAACTTGATATAAAAAAAGAGTCTTTGATGTGTAGAAGAAAAAAGTAGTTGAAATATTATTAAATTAAATAAATATATTTTAGAGATGATAACATTTAATATGATAAATTTAATTGATTTATTTATTTTAGGTTCACATCATAACATTTATTTATTTTTATTTGAGTTTTGAAGAGGTAATACCTCTGACTTCATATATTCTATTTACTTTAGTTAAATTTTGTTAATCATAAGATAATATACAAGATGGTATGTTCATAACTACTGTAAAAAAAATTAAATTAAGCACATTATCTACTTATTAGTTAAAATTCAATAATAACTATATAATAAACACATTACATATAAGATAGAAATGAATATATATTTTTATATAAATTATAATAAACACCTATCTACCTTTTCAATTTTATCCAATGTCCCGAGAAGAACACACGCATATAGTTTTAAACACGTCAATTGTTAACTTTTTTTATATCATTAATTTATCACAAATACATTAATGATTCATGAACTCATTTCTCATTAAAATTAATGTATTTATTAGATTACTAAAAATATAAATGATACCACCTCCATTTTATTAATGGTCATTCAAAATTGTTATGCGGAAATCAAGAAATGTAATAAATTTTTTTGATTTTCACAAAATGCTTTTATATTTTATATTATATTCTCTTTCATTTTTTTCCATAATAAATTGTTGGTGTATAAATTAAATTTAAGTGATAAATAAGAATATAATTAATAAAATAATAATTAATGTTGAATTTAGTAAATAACAAATAAACTAAAAAAATCACTTAAAAACCGACAATTAAAAAGTAATGGAAATAGTTAAAAAGTTATTCTTAATTTATGAAATTTATATAATTTAATTTTATGGATATACTTAGAATAAGATTATAAATTATGACACCATCAATTAAAATTAATTCATTTAATTATTTTTTTATTGGTCTTAGTGAATTAAATAATTATTTTTTTACATATAATTGAAAATGAATTTAAACTTAAATCCACTTTTTAGTTCTTATAAATCCTCTTCTTTGACTTTTTTATTATTACAAATTTGATCTCTAGTTTTTAGACTTTTTTATTATTAAAAATTTGATCTCTAGTTTTTAAAGTTAAGGAATGTTGGTTCATTATTATTAAACCATTCAAAATTAAATAAAAATTACTAACGTGATACTATTTGTAATTTTTTAATTAAATAAAAAATAATAATATAAAATTATAAAAAATTTCATATATTAATATATTATCTATATCTATACATATTATAAAGATGATACATTTAGTAACTAGCCTTCTGGTCTTCACTTTTTAATGAATCTTTATACTCTTGAATGTAAAATAAAAAAAATTCTTATACTCTCTATAATTTCTAATACTTGTTTGTATATAATTACCAGAGGTACTAAGTATCTCGACTCCTCTAATTAATATATAAAAAAAAGTTATTTTTATAATTATTTTCGTCTCTATAATTATAAACAATTATACTCTTAAATTTTAAGAAATAAAATAAACACTTTTAATAATTATCATTAATTAATTCTAAGTAACTGTTCATATTATTATATTTATTTTTAAAAATACTTAGACACATAAATGTTTCATTTTCCTAGTAAATTATAATTAAAATAAAAAATACATAAGATATGTATAGTAAAAAAATATTCTATACATGAAAGCTAGAGTAATTAAATAACTATTAGGTAAAGTTACTCATAAAGATGTTAGTATTTTTTAATTTAATTTTAAATATCATATTAATATTAAACTAAAATTACTTAATATTAAAAATCCATAATACGAGTCAAAGATTACACGTTTTCAAACTATTGTAATAAAAATGAATTTAAGAGATATTTTATTTTGTTAAAAAACTATAACTCCTTTCCATTAAATCAATTGTTACAGAAAAAAAGAAGAAGGATGTTACCTCCAAAACTCCAATGGTAACTCTAAATTAAAGTCAGAATTCAGAAACGAATCTGAAACTTAAATTAAGAGGAGTGCTACGGCCTCCGAAAAATATCCGGAAAATTTAAAATATTAATATTTTTGTTATTAAATAATTATTTAATTAAATATTTTATAATTTAAATTAATTTTTTAAAGATACGGAACGTACGTGGGAATACGTTTTGGGAGGTCCTAGAAATTTTCTAAATTTAAAGAGTCCAAATACCGTTTCTGATAATGACTTTTGGTAAGAGATAAATGTGGAAGTTAAATGGAAGAGTCCAAGGGCTTAAGAAGTTTTTATTAAGAGATACGTAAATTAATTAAATTTGAAGAAGAGAGGAGTCCAGAGAAGAATTAAATTAATTTGGTTGAAAAAAAATAATTATAATAGATTCATTTAATGAGATTCCCTAAAAAGCAAATTGTTTGAGAATATATAGAGTGAGTGAGTGAGTGGCATTGCAGTGCAGAGTGCAGAGGGGAAAGGGAGAGAAAGAGAGAAAGCAGAAGGCATGGCTAAATCACCCCAAACCCAACTTCCTCTCAAAGCTTTTGGCTGGGCTGCTTCAGACACTTCTGGCATCCTCGCCCCCTTTCATTTTTCCAGAAGGTGTTTATCATTTTATTTTATTTAATTAAATACGATACTCTCAATTCTTACTATTTCTCAACCAGATCACGTGATTCTTGCAGGGAAAATGGCCAGAATGACGTCACTCTCCAGATTCTCTACTGCGGTGTTTGCCATTCCGATCTCCACACTCTCAAAAACGACTGGGGTTTCACCACTTACCCTGTCGTTCCTGGGTACCCCTTTTCTTTCTCCTTCCACTGCAACTTTTTTATTTATTTATTTATTATTATTATTTTTAAAGGTTACCATCTTTTCCCCCAATACCAGATCCTTTTATTTCTCCACGTTTCTTTTCCTTAGCCACTGCCCCTAACTAAGATTTTGTTACTATATAATATTCCATCGCACATCATTCAGTTTGAACGTGGTGGGACACGTATCCAACAAAAACATCGCTCTTCATCTTTCAACCGACCACGCTCCTGCTTTGGGATTTTTGATAATTGTTAATTCACATGATTATTTATCTCTGATTTGGGTGTTTTAACAGTAACAAACGCGAAATCCAACCTAATCATAAGCCACGTTTTTTTTTTTTTTTTTTTTTTTTCCCATATTCCACAACATCAACCATGTGTGTGTGTGTTTTATTTATCTCGCCTTACATTAGGTCCTGTATCACGCAAATAAGGTGTGGTGGGTGTAAAAGTAATTAGACCCTAGGTGGTACTGGTAACTAGGTGTGTCTTTGCAATTTTTTTTTTTGTTTTTGGATGAAATTGAATTTGGTTAAAATTGATTTTTAAATGATGATTTTGGGTGTTTAACTGTTTATATTGTGAATGCAATTTTTTTAGAAAAATTATCTACAGTTGTTTAAATTCAAAATTAATCTTGAATTTATAATTATTTTCTTAATGTGAAATTAATCAGGTGAATGTGATTGTGATTTTAGATGACGTGAATCTAAACACACACTTATTAACTGATGAAGGATGTTTTACTTGAACCAAAAACTTAAAGCTAATAGTGCAGTTTTTTGTTTGCGGTTTTAATGATGCAATATTTGTTTTATTACACATTTTTTATGTAAATTAACTGTTATTATTATTTGTTTAAGTTTCTCATCCGTGAGTTATAGTAACAGTGACTGTTTGAGGCTTACACGTGGTTGTGCAATTGTGAACGAGGATGTTGATAGTAATACTAGTTTTTGATTTTTGAAGATAAATCAGGGGGCTTTGTGTTTATACCTTGCATAGATGTATTGACTTTTGTATTTCTGTTTTGCAGGCATGAAATTGTTGGTGTTGTGACAAAAATTGGAAACAATGTAAAAAATTTCAAAGTGGGGGACAAAGTTGGAGTTGGTGTGATAGTGGAGTCTTGTAAGGAATGTGAGTGTTGCCAACAGGATCTGGAGAGTTACTGTCCCAAACCTGTGTTTACCTATAACTCTCCTTATTATGATGGGACACGAACTCAAGGTGGTTATTCTAATTTCGTGGTTGTTCACCAGCGTTATGTGCTCCGATTTCCTGAGAACTTACCCCTTGATGCTGGTGCTCCACTTCTGTGTGCTGGGATCACTGTGTATAGCCCAATGAAATATTATGGGATGACAGAGGCAGGCAAACATTTGGGAGTGGCAGGGCTTGGTGGGTTAGGCCATGTTGCAATCAAATTTGCTAAGGCGTTTGGGCTTAAAGTTACTGTCATTAGTTCATCCCCAAACAAGGAAGATGAGGCCATTAAAAGGCTTGGGGCTGATTCTTTCCTTGTTTCCTCAGACCCTGCGAAAATGAAGGCAAGTGTGATGCAATATTAAAATTTGTGCTTTGCTTGATATAATTAGCTATTTTGCAATGGTAGTCTTTTGTTTACTCTTTTAATGACATATTTCAAAAGCTATCATCAAATGCTAATGAGTTAATAGCAAGAGCTAACTACTGTAGAGAAGTGAAAGTACTGGTTTAGAGAATAGTATACCTGTGCAGAACAAAATTTTCTAAGTGACTTTGCAGCTGTAGTCAGTGTTAGCAACGAAATGTGTCTCAGTACGAGAAAACCTTACCTCAGCAAGCACTCTAGAATATAAAGCACGAAGCTTGGTCTGCCTGTCCATGATAATCAATAGTAAAATGATGAATGGATTGGTCATGCAATTGCTCATAATGTCTTTTGTAATTTTTCACATATTTTATGCAGGCTGCTATGGGAACCATGGACTATATCATAGACACAATTTCTGCAGTTCATTCCCTGATTCCACTGCTTGGTCTGCTGAAGCTGAACGGGAAACTGGTTACTGTAGGGTTGCCTAACAAGCCCCTTGAGCTGCCTATCTTTCCGTTAGTTGCAGGTAAGCTATTAAT